CGCATTTTCTCGTCAGGTGACCAGACTAGGGTTAAAACATTCTCACGTAATGGAACGAAATGAACTATTTGGCTCCTTAATTCCGCAAAAATTCTCGAAATAATATTCGTAATAACGATTTGCCAATACACGAAAACCGGTTGTCGATGAATTCCTTCTAGCCATCACCCAGCGTCATAAGTCGACAGATTGGCATTCAACTCTCGAACTAAAACTTTATCACGAGTAATATATCTTTTCCCTTATTTCTTGCAGTTTTAAAACCCGACGTACGCGATGTGCAATCGCGTACGTCGGGTCCTAATGAGACTCGGCCGGCCGGTTCGAGTCACTTCGTTATTAGTCCACAGTAAGTAATTCCCGTGGGAATTGGGTGGCAGTGGGGACTCAAGTGTACCTTCTGGGACTTGAGATATGTAAGAAGGGAAGTGGCATCGGAGGAGGGCCCCCGTGGGGCCGTTGCTGACTGGTCGCACCCTCAGGACGCGTCTCGACGTCGTCTTCGCCGTCGTTGCCTGACCTCGCGCCACATTTCCCCTCCCCTCTCGGATGGGATAAGAGAGCCCACCAGTGAGCCCCTGGTGGCACTCCTTGGAGACTCACCAGCCAACATAACCCGCATGGCGATATCCATCGGGGGAACATCAATCGGGAATTGCTGTGTACGAGGAAAAGCGAGGGCTCGTACTGGGAAAGCAATGAACATGAAATCAATGCCACGAAAATAAAATAATTCCTCATTTTAAACGTCGATCGACAGTCGAAATCAAACATAAGCCCTTTCACTTCTGATTTAAATGAGAAAATCTCTCGATAGTCAGAATTGAAGTTAGACTCTTGAAGTACGCACCAGGAACATATAAAAACTCTACTTTTGCTTACTGGGATTTTCAAGAGTTTCCCAATTTTTAGAATAGGATGAAGGGTGTTCGAGTGATTGACGATAAAAAACCGCCGATTTTGCTCCACTCTCCTCTAATAATTCACGAAAAACAATCGATTTTTGAATAATAAAAACTACGTGAATGACTCTACACAAATTCAATTATTTCACGTGATTTCGAATTGATTTCAGATGGATAGCCCTCCGAATGAACATTAAATTAATGCCATGAAAATGGAATAATTACTCACTTTGGACGTCGATCGACAGTCGAACCATAAGCCCTTTCATCTCTTATTCGAATGAGAAAATCCCTCGATAGCCAGAATTGGAGTGATCCTCCTGAGGTCCACACCAGGAACATAAAAATTCTACTTTTGCTCACTAGGATTTTCAAGAGTTTCCCAATTTTTAGAATAGGGTGAAGGGTGTTCGAGTGATTGACGATAAAAAACCGCCGATTTTGCTCCACTCTCCTCTAATAATTCACGAAAAACAATCGATTTTTGAATAATAAAAACTACGTGAATGACTCTACACAAATTCAATTATTTCACGTGATTTCGAATTGATTTCAGATGGATAGCCCTCCGAATGAACATTAAATTAATGCCATGAAAATGGAATAATTACTCACTTTGGACGTCGATCGACAGTCGAACCATAAGCCCTTTCATCTCTTATTCGAATGAGAAAATCCCTCGATAGTCAGAATTGGAGTGAGACGGACCGCCTTCAATGGTCAGTAATTCGAGATTGACAGCGTGAACTTTGATCATCTCTGCGTCATTTTAAAGGGATTCCCGATCTTTAGAATGGGACGAAGGTCATTCGAGTTGTACTCGGGTGTAAAGTTGGTGCTAGAAGGGTCTGGACTGATATTCTTTGACCATCTGATGTTGTTTCAAATGTCTGCGCCCTTGAATTGAGCACAATTTTCGAAACACTAATTCAAACGCAAAAGCATCTGATTCCAGAGCGTCAGCATTCAAAATTAATACTCATCATGGCCTGTAAATGCGTCTCTGATTTCAATGTCTACAGAACATTGGATGAAAAGAATAAATTCTCAAATTGATTCCCGATGCTGTTGGAATAGAGGTGAACGAGTTTATTCCAAAGAGGGCGAGACTTAATGGTGCTCTTCCAGATTTACAAGAATGCAAACAATCGATTTTAAGGCGAAATCTTTCATTCGAGGACACGGTTTTGGAACAGAAACTTCACTCTTGAAAATTTTCCCAAAGGCCGGATTCCTCTCAGTGCAAAGTAACCCAGCATCAGGTGCTTAATTGACCGCCTCTTTTGAGGATAATCCATCGGCAAGTCATTTCAGCAGAATTCAAAACGTCGGGTGAACGTCTTTTATTCGCATCATAAACATTTTCCCTTCATTACGGGCATTCCCACGAAGATGTTTTACGACAACATTTTTTCCCCCACAAGAGCTTCATTATCGCTCTTAATGGGATGTAAAAAAGGAAAAATAAGGAAAGTCGAATGGTTCCGGGAAAGCGCGTAAGAGCAGAAGTAATTACTTGAAATTGTTCGTGCGGTGCCGCGGAGGGATGGTGTATAAACAAAACAGACGGCCTGTCGACGTAATAGACGCTTGGACAAACAGAATCGCATGTTCATGGGTATAAAGTGCGATATGTAGGACTGTCAGGTTCACAGGGCTCGTGCTCTTTTCCCACCTACGTATTTGACTAGTCATTACTGTGCAAGTTTTTTTTTACAATTCCTATCTCCGCAATTTGCGCGTATTATATTCGTACGATTGCTGCAAACTGCTCGGTAAATAATGTAAAAATGTTTTTATAAAGGGGGTATGTGGTTCAAACTGTCGGGCGGTAAACAAAATGCATTCGGAGTAATTCTTTCGGGGGACGTAAACAGACGGTTATTTCGGACAGTTGAATTGAGACATTAAGACATTTTTAAAAGGGGCCATTAAGAGACATTTTTGAGTTTGACATCTTAAATTAGGACGTCTTTAAGGATGTCTAACCTTTCAAGTAGACAACTCAGCTGAAAATAAAAATAAAATTGACTAAATAAATCATTCACGTTACAAATTATTTTTCTCATCAATTTAGAAGTGTTATGGCGTACTTTTGCGGTCTCAACAACAATAATTAAAGAAAGTGTTCATAAATAATGGGGGACTTGTGACTGCGGTGGTAACAGTCGAATTTTGATCCGGCAACGTCGCACGCTTCGGCTAGTAGTGGGGTTGCAACAGTGAGATGAATGTTGTGTGTGTTATACGTGGCCATACGCTTCCAGCACTGAATTATCGTCACCGACTTTACCGACCTCGATCAGCTGTTGTGCGGTGTTGTCGCGTTGCTCGACTCGTAATGACGGTCAAATTTTTTTTAGAGGAATTCGAAACTCAATCGAAGATATCACGCCTATATGGCCCGGTCCCCTACGTGTTCTCGCCGGCGATAGATTCTCCATAGTCTAAAGTAAATGGCTTGTGGTTTTTTTTCAATAGCTTGAGTTTCTAATCCATGCAACATCTCGATCAAAGTTCACACGGTCACGTTTCTTCCCTAAGCGTAATGTTACAAGAAGTGATTTTCAGAAATTAATTTCTTACTAGATGCCCTGATAGAAGGATTAAAAATATTACTGACGTGTGGCTCCAATATGAACCTGGCGTATGATATAATATAAAAATTATGGGGAGCATTTTAAGTGTTTTCGGGCAAACAAACAATAAAAAAATTTGGTTTTGCACTAATTATTCGTTTTCAGATCTATATAATCGACCTTCAACGTACGAAAAATCTCACTCCAATAACCCACAGCTTTCAAAACTCCTAGTAGTCTCCCCTTAAAGCGTATGGGGAAAAAAAGCAGAATATGTTGAGCAGCGAAAAATGTAAGAATGAAAGAAAAAAAAACTATGCCATGAGGAGTATCGAGGGAACAAGTCCCCGAAAGTTTATTTACGGCGTGTTGACCATCTTCAAATTTTGTAGGGGGTGAGTTTGTCGACAAGAAGATTTAGGTCTGAATCAAGGTTTTGTGGAAATTTATCAATGAGACGAGATATGAATTGTCTGATGTATTCGATAATCAGGATATCGCGGAGGTGTTAGATTGGGGTGCTGCGATATTCGTTATCGCAGATCGCACATCCAAATGTTCTGAATAAAGTCTCAAATTAATCCTCCAATTTTCCCAAACAATTTCGTAAACTTAATCAACCATTCAACGAAAATGTCCCGGCAAAAAAAAATCCACCGTTTACGTTAATTATTTGGAGTACGTAAACGAGTCTCGCCTGACTTTTTATCATAACCCCCCGTCAAATGACTGAATCACACGAAAGCGCTCGATACAGCCGTAACCTTCAGCCACATGAATCCTCATCTTCCTCTATTTTGTCCGACGCGCATCGCTTTTCAGAGGGTTGCTTTTACCCGCTTTTACCGCCCTTCGTGTTACCTCTGATTTACTTATCGTCAGGGAGAGGTGAACCTCCTCGTTCGTTTACTCGTCAATTCAGTTATTTCGTTTTTCATAAATATTTCATGCACCCCGGTTTGTGTGCCGGCTTAATAGAAATTCAATTTTTGCGGATTGAATTGAGGCGATGGGTTTAGGAGGGCTCGAATGAATATAAATATGCGAATGTTTGCCGGATAATTCGAGCAAATAGTTGTAAACGTTTCGATTACACTTTTATGAGTTCACGTTTGTCGGACAGAGTACGAAAAACAGAAGCCCGAGTTGTGCGAGGTTCAACTCGACTGGTAGCAGAGGCAAGATCAAAGGAGCCAGTCTCAATCTTTTTCCGAACCCTCCCCGGTAATCCAATGGCTTCCCTCCACAACCCACCACCCAGTATAAATACATGAATACAAGTCCGGCACAATGTGTTGTCATTAAATAAAAATCAATCAGGAGGCTGTGAAGGAGGCTTAACGGATTTGCTTGCAACGCCCAGGGCTTAGCCGATGCCAGTGGGGTTGCTTCCCTCTGTCTACGCACTCTCGCGACTGTCCAAGCATGCACTGGGATGCAACCAAATTGCTTGTTTAGATGTGTCAGTTTGTCGTGTTCAATAGACAGTGATTAATTTTCATTTTTCTGATTTCAGGCAATAATGTACGAGGGACAGGACAAAAACCCGGAGATGTGCCGGGTTTTGCTGACCCACGAAGTCATGTGCAGGTGAGTCTGGTGAAGTATGTCGAGAGAAAGTTGGGAGACAATTACCAAATGAGGGTGATTTGTGCAGAAATTGGGATTTACTAATAGTAGACCCAGACGAATGATGTAGTCGTCCTTTAAAAAAAGCATGGGCAATATCTCGAACGCATGGAGAAAGTAAGGCGGTTTTCATGAGTGCAATCGTCTTGCGTCGAATTTTCATGAAACCCGCCTGACAAACAAAAGAGAATTAAATACCATTCTATGAAACACGAATAAACGAATCATAATTGTTCAAATCATTTAGGTGAGAGGAAAATAGAATAATTCTACTTTCTTAGTATTGCGTTTACTGAGGTTTTCTTCGAACGAAGTTGATTAGAATTAATAGCTAGAATTATGAGACTATCTCACATTTTTTACGTTAAGGATAGGAGAATCTGAATGCAATATAGTGAAAATGATGATCGATTTTTTCACGTTGAACAAATAATATTAACCCTAGTCTGGTCACCTGACGGGAAAATGCGACTTTAGTCACCTTCGCGGGAGAGTGCCGCCGTGTTATTTAGGCTCCAGCGTTGCCGAATCCACTCTACACTTCCCGGGCGCGTTTAGCGAGTTCCCAGCAACGTCGCGCAACAGGCAATTTCATTTAACACGGGAAAAAATTGTTCACCTGTAGGAAATAATTTTTTTTCTCCCAGAATTAAGGATACAATATTGAAAAAAAAATACTAGAATTTTCCAGATACTTCAATTGACGAATTCAATTTTTCTCAAATTTTTCCGGTCGACCAGTCGATGGCAAGGTGAATAAAACGACGTGTTGCGGCAATTCCCTCGCATGGTGACCAGTTTAGGGTTAATATCCAAATACAAAATTTCTGATATGAATAAAGAGAAGCTGTGACTCAATATTCCAAATGAAGCTTTAATTTTTAATTTGGTGCTGATAACACGAGACGACAATATTCTAAGCACGGAATTAGATTAATGAGATGGACAACAGATTAATTGAATTACCGTGTGAACTAACTAAAAATTGATAACAGTGTGGGCACGCACTTTTACCAGAGTATTAACAAACATTGAATTTCTGAAATCCACACTCTAAAGTGTGTTCTAGAAGGAATTCAATTGTAATTATGATTAAAATCTTATTCAGTGAGCATAGGAATCAGAACATGAGCAAATCATGTATTGTATGATTCTCATGAATTGAGTTTCTGTTAATATTAAATCAATGTTTTTTCCCACTATTAATAATCTTTATTTGGTCTAAATAAATTCTTAATCGATGACAAACAAAGATTTTTCTTATATTGAGGAAATTTTTTTAGTTGAATTCAATACATTTTTTCGTGGAGATAGATAAAAATTTATTTGATACTGATAATTTATTATCGCTCCGGGATTGAAACTGACTCAAAAAATTGTACGAGAAAAATGCAATAATTATTAGAAAATATCTATGAAATATAATTTCGAATTTTTTGAAAAATTTTAAAAATAAGATAACTCGATTTGAAATGAATAAATTCCCTATTTGAAATTACAAAATTGTTTATTTGAAATAATTTAATCCTTTTCTATTAAACAACTGAACAAGTTCATTTATTTCCAACAATGACATTCTTGAAATAATTACAAAATTCCAAGCAAAGATTTTTATTTTCTTCAAATGAACCATTTTTCTGGGTAACTTATCCGCAAAAAATATTTTTCATTGAATTAAAACTTCGCTCCTCAATGACCTTTCGTATACTAAAATTTGCCGTGATTTTCTGGATAATTTTTATAATTCTTTAAACAGGTGATTTCCGTTCAAAATTCTCCTCCCCCCTCCCCCACCCCCCAATCGTCGCGTGCCAGTATAGATTCATTCTCGAGTCCACCCCAGCGGGTAGTAAACCATAAACATAACGAGCCTTGTATGCATCAATGTATGGGTACATACACCGTAGCTGACTCACTTTGGCCCTATGGGACTTCTGCTTAGCCCCTAGTTGCAGAATCCCTTGGGCAATTCCGCAGGGGCTACGTGGTTTTCAGTCTCTGCTTCAAAAACTTTTGACGTTCTTTCACTCTCCTCATACCCCTCTCAAACTGGGCCGATCCACCCCCT